TTCATTGAGTCTCAATTTTGTAGCAGGCAGTAATTTAGGTGCTGGGGAAAATGTTAGAACAAGAGTGTCTACTGGGAAAGCTAACACAAATAATCTGCTGGAGGTACACAGTTTGCCAAAGGTCTCTGGAGGGTCTCAATCCCCAAGCGGGCAGGGAACATAGAAGGCATTTCAGTGAAATAGGTGCCTTTGACGCATTATAAAGAATGAGTTCTAGCCCAGCTGGAGTGGCTCAGTGATTGAGCATCATCCTATGAACCAGGAGGTCACAGTCTGATTCCCGGTCAGGTCACATGCCCAGGTTGCAGGCCTTCCACTCTGAAGTCAATTTTTAAAAAAGAAAAGAAAAGCATGAGTTCTATATAAAAAGGTGGGTGGGTGGAGGGAGGTGACAGAAAGCTGAGGAGACGGCATGGGCAAAACCACTGAGCGAACGTGGGAGAATAGGAAATACTTCCAGGAATATCGAGGAAAACTGGCCTTGGGACCCAAGTCAAAGGTGCTGAAATGCTGCGCCCTGAAAAGTGGCAGGAGCAGACTTCTGCATCTGCTCCAGAGAAACCTGCCAGGATGTGACTACGCGATGCCCAGGAGAGCGTCACGTGCCCCTGCGAGAATGCGGGAGGAGTTCCTGCCAACGGTTTTTAAGCTCAGTAACAGCAGAGCAGACACAAAGCCATGAAATGTGTGTAAGCTTACTTCAATGATATGGGGATATGACACATAATTGCCCTGTGAAGTAGAGGGCTGGTTCACAAAGGATACATGTTCATTGATTGGAGAGGACAGATCAGACAGCTTTTTATGAAGTTAAAAAAAAGTCACAGAGGAATAAAAAGGTGTGGGAGAGAAAGACAGGGAGAGAACCTTGAGGACTGTTCCATCCAGCTGTGAACCCACAAGGCACAGCCAGGAGGTTCCAACAACCTGCTGCTTTCTGGCTACCTGTGTGACTTCTTTAAATGTCCACAAACACCAAACCAGCCCAACTCATTCTCTCCCCGCTAGTTGGCCTTAACCCCAAAATACTGGGAGTCAGTGGCTCAATCATTTATTTTCCATTTTGTTCTTATGTTAAGATTACTCTGGCAGAGTGCCCCTCCCCAGGGCATCTACTAAATACCTGATGGGAGCTCATGAAGATTTGGATGAACGGTTGCTGATCCAAGGAGAAGGCAAACTATGGTTCCTTCGTTTACATCTATTAGTTCCCTCTTGAATATATTATTTTTCCTTCCCTCTACAGAGAAATACTTCTTTGTCACACAAGATGAGTCATTCTGCAGTTTTAATTCTCCCCCCAGGAGTCTTACAATAATACCAAAACCAACTCACTGAAACAATAGTGCCCTTTGCAGGCAAGAACTATAATTAAACCATTCCAATATAATCACTAACTTATGTGGGGTTCACTGACTTTCAGAGAGAAGAGCACTCTAAACTTCTTCTTCTCCAGGGTTAGAGAACCCAAGAACAAGAGGAGGAGCCAAACGAAGTCTAAGATGCAAGATACCTGGAAGAAAACGGTAAGACCAAAGTTACATGCCCAATACTGTGAATTACACTGAACTCAGTAAGTAGCTGTGGGCCTGTTATGTACCTGGCACTGTTTTTAGGTGTGTGGGATGCATCACTAACAAAAACAAAGACCCTCGCTTTCACTCAGGAGAGGGGAGGACGGAGTAGAATTTGGAAAAGACAGACAATAAACAATAACATATGAAGTAAACTATGTATTATACAGTGAGAAGATGATAAGTGTTATAGAAAAAGAAAAGAAAAGAAGTAGACACGGGCCAGTAATGGAGGGGACTTGGGGGATGGTTACCATTTGAAATTGGTGATCGGGGGAGGCCTCCATTGGATGTGCAAAGATGTGCTCTGGGCGGGGAGCAGCCACCTGGGAGTCACGGGATCCCTTCACAAGCTGCTCTGCCTCCTGCTGACTTGGATTTCCCCCAGTTTTAGAAGTGAAATATTGATTCTCCTCAAATAAGGGTGTTATTTACATCGAGATAGTGATTCTTACTTTAAGTAACATTTTAGTCCTTTAGAGTAATGTTGAAGGCAATGGAGGGAAGGGCAAGGAAAATGGTATTGCATTTATATATTTAAAAAAAAACTTTCTAAAAGAAAATTATCTTCCAGGCACTATTTCCCATGTGGAAATAAAGCTAATATTTTCTACACTCCACCTGGGACATAAAAATGACCAATGTAAAAATCTTACAATGTAAAAATCGTATTGTGTAAATACCTATTTATTCACAGTATTACTGCATCATCTATTGTTTTGCCTTCTTTTTTAACTTCCTTCTATACATCGTCCAAGCTGGTGTCATCTGTTTCATAGAACACAGGATTCTGAGAGGCAAGAACTAGTCTACCTGACTATTTTTAAATGTCTACAAGATGTCATACATAGGCTGATACGTGACAAATACTAGTCATTCACAACCAGAGGTATCTCTTTTTTCTTATAACATGAACCGACTTTCCTTTTTAACTCGAATGCCTCAAAGCATTTAACAAACGTTTCACACATATTCTAAGCGCCATCAGGGGGAAACGAGCAGTGCGGGGTGATGTAGCCAGATGCAGAAGCACAGGCTTCGGAAAGAGCCTACCTGGGTCGCAGGACTCAGCCTGACCCCGTGTCAGCTGTGCACCTTTGGGTAAATCACTTGACATCTCCAAATTGCATTACTTCACCTGGGAAAACTGGAAAAATCATACCTGTCCCCACGGCTTTGTGTAAATGAGCTAATGGATGCAAAAGAGCTTGGCACAGGGCCTGACCCATAAAAGGCATTCAATACATTACTTTTCTCTTCGCCAAATCTCCTCCACCCCCCACATCCCCAACACCCCCCCACACCCTCCCTACACACTTCATCAGTGAGTAAATAACCGTCTTGCTTTAAACTACAAGCAGTGCGTTAGAGAGAGCCAAGTTCTCCTCACTCCATCCCCTGGCCCTGGCAGCCTCTCGGCGGTGGAATCCCTGGTTATTTCCTTTCTCAAGGAGGAGATACTATTCTGGTTTGACAGATCCTTTCCTGGACACACTCGCAGAATTCCCTAAGGTTCTTATCGTGGCTAATGGATAACAATGCAGAGACTATGGGAGTGAGTAATCACTCTCTCCTGGCTAAAAACTTCCTTTATTGACTTCTCGAACTTCCCGTCAGCGTTTTGCTGCCAAGTCACCCTCTTGTTCTAGGCAACTATTGAAAGTAATTCTCCTGAAGCTGAAAAACACATTTAGCCTCCGACAATAAATCACACGAACCTCAATTACTAGCCACTTACACGAGCAGACTATTAGGACATTAGACTATTGGACTATTTGTAAAATTAAATTGTTTACATGCCTATTTCCTTCCTTAACCCTTACAATAAGAACAGGAGTGAAGAAAGATATCTTTCCATTGTGCTTTACACAAGATAATGTAGAGCAGTGGTTCTCAACCTTCTGGCCCTTTAAATACAGTTCCTCATGTTGTCACCCAACCATAAAATTATTTTCGTTGCTACTTCATAACTGTCATGTTGCTACTGCTATGAATCGTAATGTAAATATCTGATATGCAGGATGGTCTTGGGCGACCCCTGTGAAAGGGTCGTTCGTCCACCAAAGGGGTCGCGACCCACAGGTTGAGAACCGCTGATGTAGAGGATAGTAGTATTCTATGTCAATAAAGGTTTATTTAGTGTCTGCAATGACAGCATTGTTTATTCTTCATTGAAAGAGAAACTGATAGCAAGGCAATAGCAGCTTACTCTGGGGGCTTACAGTGAAATAGTAAAAGTTTGCGATCACATTGCCGTGTCTTGGATCACTGTCTCCCATGCACACAGCACAGTGCCTAGAATGTAGCTGGCGGCCAATACATTTTTACTGAGTGAAATGAGTAAGTTACCATTTGATTTTATTGTGTGGACCAACATATGGCCTTTCACCCCCGAAGATAAAACACACAATCCCATTACATGGGAACTGTGCCCTCAGCACCGGAACCTAAGACCCCCCATTCCCAATGAGCAGTGAGACCGACTTCTTGAGGCAATTCTGCTTACTTTGCACATTATTCTCCCCTACAGTTTCCCTTCTTTTGTTTTTCGTCCTGAGGATAGTTGTATAAAAACAGAATCGTTGTTGCTTAGTAATTCATCTGCTCCAGCTGCGTGTGTTCTGTTCCCAATCAAGATTCTCGGTTTTCAGCCTCCTCATCATTTTCATCAGGAGTTTAGTGAATTGGCCAGCTCGCTGCCTTCTCCACCTCTGCGGAACGCTGGGCCCCACGCTCCCATGCGTGGCTCCTCTTTCTGTTTCTAGCTTGAGGTTATGCATGATTGTGTCACATATAATCTGTCCGCGCTCATCATGAAGTGCTCGTTGATGCACAGAGCACCACACCCCACCCCAGTTCCCAAACTCTCCAGCTTCGAGTCAGGGCAGGGTTACCCCACAGTCAGAGAGGGAGAGAGGGTTCTGAGGGCCAGAAGCCAGGGAAAGCCACAAAAGCATAGGGGGGAACATTTAAGGAGATGGGAAAATATTTTTTTTTAGAGGTAAAAGCAAATAGGAAACTTGATCACCTATTATGGTTAATTCCGTTTCAAGCACTTCATTAATCACACCTATTTTTCAATGTCTAATTCTCTTGTGTGTCTTTCCATTCCATAGACTTGTCTATATCTTTCCCACAGCTGTTTCTCTCATTTCTTACTGTTTCTCCAAAAAGGACAATAAACAGCTTCCTAGCCACATATCATCATAAACCCTGACATGTTAGATTACCCCCTGCTCAGTTTATACATCACATGGGGCCCATAAAAACTCCTCCCTCACCAGTAACCCACCTCACACCAAATTTTCACTTCCCCTTTTCCCTGCTGGGAAGGACACTTCCTACAGGAGCGACCCAGCCACACCCACCCCCCCCTTCTGTGCACAGGTGCATCTCCCAGTCCCAGGACACCAGGGGACTCCTCACCTGGAAGGCAGTTGCACTCAAAAGTGAAGTCGCCGGTCTGCCGGCAGGTGCCTCCATTAACACAGGGCGAGGGTGCACATGGCACGTAGGGGCTGTCGCAGTGCTGGCCGGTGAAGCCCTGGGGGCATTGGCACTGATAGGAGCCCGGGAGGTTGAGGCAGGTGCCACCATGCTGGCATTGTCCAGGAACGTCACACTCATTGATGTCAGTCTCACATTTCTGCCCTGTGAAGCCTGGCGGGCATTTGCAGGAGAACTGGTTGGCCACGGTGGTACAGGTGCTTCCATTTGCACAGGGATGAGATAGGCAGGCATCCGTCCATTGGCACAGCTTACCTGGAAGAAGGGGAACAGAGCTCAGTACTGCTCATGGGAATGGGGGCCGGCCCCATCCTTGACACACCACACCTTCCACCCAATAGGTGACACCAGGGGGTTACTGCATAGAGAATCCCTCAGCTCTTTGAATGAATAAAATGTATTGATATCTTCCACAATCTATAATTACTAAATAGACCTCTTGGAGGAGATAAACAATAGTACTTTTTTTTCCTTTAAACACAACACACATGCACACATGTTCTGGGCAACATTTTACTAAAGTGGTCCGGCTATCAATGTTGCTTGATGTGTTTGAAGAGGATGAAGAATCTCTGACTCCTTGTATATGAAAACTAGACAAAGCTAGAAGCTGTCATGAGACTAGAGTCTAGAAAGGTAACTTCTGTGCACCCTCTCAGGCAGGAAAGCCCAGGAGAAGCAGGAAGGCTCCCGCGTGCTGGACACTAAGGCATGACTCCAGGGAAGCAGAGCAGAGAGAGGTAGAAAGAGGAAAAAACACGCCCACCTACTAATGAATTCATGTGGCTTTTTGTTGTCATTAGCTTAAGCTTTTTTTAAAAAACCCACAGAAGATGTGAGAACCCCTTGAATTTGTTACACTCCAAGTGGTTGTCAAAGTAAACATCCAAGTCTTTGACCCCCATAGGGAAGCAAATGGGGTCATACAGCTTTTCTAAAATAGAGAGGTGACACGTGAGCACACAGAAGTGCTCTCTGCCCATCACGGGATATAAATCAAAGAAGAAAGTGCAATAAAAATGTGGGTGCAACACATATATCTTAGGGTGCTAGCAGAGAGAAAATGCAAAAGCTGCTGCTTTTCTTCCTACTTTTTCTTCATCCCACTGAGAGACATTTACCTACAGTGGAGAGGAGGTTCAAATGGTTCCTCCTCACAACCATGCGTACCAAGTGTTTGCCTACAACGGAAATAGAAGGGTCCCTGAACTTGGTTTCCCATCAATGTGACGTGCTTGGGGCATTAACTTCTGGCCCCTGTTTCTTCCTCTAGAGTGGAGATTAGCTAATAAAGTCTGACTAGGGAGGGTATAAGGCCATCACAAAACCAAAAGGGTGAACTTGACCTGTGACAGACAAAAGTGGCAGATATGCAAAGATGACCAGAACCCTGCAGATACACCAAGGAGAAATCCTTTTAATGACAAAGGAAGGTGTTTTAATTTGGGAGTCATTTCAGAGTAACATTTAAATTATAAAGAAGGCATTACTGGCCTGGCCAGGTGGCTTTTGGGTGGAGCGTTGTTCTGTACACCACTGGAATTCTCTCCTTTGTTTGTGGCCTGAGAGACGCTGTTTGTTATGCTGATGTATCAGCATGAAACAGTTGCCAGGTCTAGAAGGGAATTTTTGTTCAACAACTGAGAGATTTTGTTCCCTGAACAACTTGGTCAGAACTGAATTGTTTAAGATGGGAGATGTTCAAGAACGAAGAGGTTTCACTGTATTCTCTTAACCACCAGATCTCTTCAGTGACTCATGGCATCAATGCTATCGCAGTCATGATGGAGATGGAGATAATGGATCATCCCAACTATTTTCTACCCTTACCAACACCCTTCAATGAAAAATCAATAGACCAAGAATTCCAAACTAACTGACCCAGTCTAGTTTTCTGAGTATGTTTTTCATTTTTTGCTTATTAGATTTACTGAATCATTGGTGGTGTCGGGGACAAAACGGTTCTCCTTTTCTCATCTAACTTATTTAATAAACACTTATGGCTCAGACCTATCTTTGAAAAACCCATAATCCAGTCAGATGAGAGCCATGTAAAAAAATTAATTACAATAAATTGTGACACATAAAATAATAGAACATAGAGACAAACTGCCTAAAAGACTCATGAAAGGGGCAGGAAGACAGAGTTTTAAATAACATTGGGCAATCGCCAATTATAGAAAAGGGCATTCCCGGCAAGGGGATGTGCAACAGCATGGAGGCAATAGGAAGTATGACATTTTCAGGAAATGATGAGAATGATGGCGTGACTAAAGCTACATGCTGGCGGGGAGGTGAGGCTATAAAAAGATGTAAGGTCTAGACTGTGAAGGGCTATGGAAACCATGTAAAAGTGTTTGCAGCTTACCCTGTGGATGACAGGAACTCACTGGGCATTGTACTCAGGTGACATTACGGTATGAGTGGATTTGCATTTACAACTAAAGGCATGACAATGTGACCAGTGCACAAGATGGGGAGATGATAAAGGCAAGGAGACCAGTTAGGAAATGACTGTGGGAGCCCCAGGTGAGACATGACAGGGACCTCAACTGCAGAGTAGGAGAGCAATGGAGAGGGAATAGACAGATGAGAGGTAATTCAGAGGGTGTGTTGGATGACTGAGTCTAAGGGGGTAAGGGCCAGGGAGAGGGAGTTTCTAGTTTGAAGTACTTGGAGTGTACCACAATTTATATCAACATGTTGAGTTTGAGGCACCTGTTGAATTTCCAAGGATAATATGCAATACTTAGTTAGAAATATGAGTCTGAATGTCGGGGTCAGGGTGGAGCAAAAAAGATGACTACCAGAGTCATCAGCAAGTGATGAAGATGAAGACAAGAACAGTTAAAGCCAGCAGAGACAGAGAGTACCTGGGGAGAGCTGAAGTAAGACTTAAAAGAGAATTCCAAGGAACACAAAAATGCAATGGATGAGGACAAAGCAATGCAGGAGCAAAGGGAATAATCAGAGTTCAGAAAGTCAGAACAGCCAATGCCCTGAATGTCTAGGGAGAGGAGATTTCAAGGTGCAAGTAATTAATAGCATGAACAGCTTTTCTGTCGGCAATAGTGAAGTGATGCTGGTCCCCAATTCTGACAGGTATACTTTACACAGTCAAATGCTTCTGAGTATTTCTTTCTCTTTCTCCTCTCTTAAAACTCTCAAAAAAGAAGCTAAAAATAGTTGTCCGGAACATTCCAGTAACTCACCATAATGTTAAGTATGTACCCAGTTGGGGGACCTTAAGAGGCAGATGTCAAGAGCTAAAAGATGCTAAATAAAGACACATCCCAAGAATAGGAAAGTTTGGGCCCAAGTCCCACTGGATACCTGTGAAACCAACTTGGCAGGTGCACTCGTAATCATCCTGGCTGAGCACATGGCAGGTGCCTCCATTCAGACAGGAAGGAGATGCATAGCAGGGGTGCGTGGTCGAGTGCTGGCAGTCCTCGCCCGTGAACCCCGGAGCGCACTGGCACGTGGCCTTCCCCAACATGGCCTGGACCACGCATGTCCCACCATTCTGGCAGCGGTTCTTCCCACAGGGGTCTCGATGTTGACAATATTCTCCCAAGAAGCCCTCTGGACATCTGTGTGGAAAAGAGAGTAGTCCATGAAAACACTTGACTTCTTATAAATAAAAAAACTTATAAGAGCATGCATTCCAGTCAAGAAAACATTAGATTGAGAATCCACAGGCCTGAAGACACAACTGCAAAACTGCCTTGATTCAGGAGAAGTGTTTAGAAAAGTTAATCACACATTCCCAAGTCCTTTTGGGTCTAGGCTGGGGACAGAACACTAGGTGGTCTAGGTGGTGATTCAGCATGGTCTGCCATGGCCAGCCAACATGACTTTTATTTAAAGCAAATTACAACCAGAGATTTTTTTCCATGTACATACAGACGGATATGGTATAATGGCACCTTTTTATGCAGCATTGTTGATACTTGTCTGTTTAAATTCCTCTCCTATTTAAAATACATAAATTACTGGACTTCCAGTCAAGATGGTGGCATAGATAAATGCAGTACCCATCCTCTCACAACCACACCAAAATTACAACTAAACTACAGAACAAACATCTTTCAGAATCACCTAAAATCCAGCTGAATGGAAGTCCTACAAGCAGGGATTTAAAGAAGAAGCCATATCGAGACTGGTAGTCAGAATTCAGTAAATGTTGAAATTATTATTCCTGCCACTGAGAGTACAGACTCTAGAACCAGACCACCTCTATTTCAGTCCCAGTTCCCCATTTATTCGATGAGTGATCTTGAGCAAGTTACTAAACCCTCTTTGTTATAAAATGGATTTAATAATCAGGCCTACCTCATCAGACTCAAATAATTATAAAGCACTAAGAATTATATCAGTACATAGCAAAACACCACGCATTTATTAAGTAAAATAAAATCATTGGCTCACTACTTCAACAACAGAACAGTCTTCAGTGTGGGCGGATCCCATTGTCAGAAAGCTCTTTCTTCCTGATGTCTTAAAACTCTTGCCTCCCTCCTAGGTATATACCCAAGGTAGCTGAAAACATGAGAAGTCCATACAAAAATTTGTAAAGACGTTCGTATCAGTACTGTTCACAATACCAAAAAGTAGAAATAAATAAAATGTGGTACATCCAGACAATGGAATATTATTTAGCCAAGAAAATGAATAAAGATCCGATACATGCTATGACCTGGATAAACCTGGAAAACATCATGCTAAGTAAAATAAACTGGACACAAAGGCTACAGATTGTGAAATGTCCATTTCTATGAAATGTCCAGAATAGGCAAATACATAGAGATTAAAAAAAATAGTGCAGCTAGGAGTTGGGAAGAGGAGGAAATGGAGAATGACTACTAAGGACTAGAGAGTTTCTTGGGGTGGGGGAGGAGTTAATGAAAATATTTAGAAATTAGATCATGGTAATGGTTACACATAACTGTGAATATACTAAATTGTATGCTTTAAAAGACTAAATTTAATAGTATGTAAACTTTATCTTTTATTTTCCTTTAAATTCTACCTCCCTACAATTTCCACATATTGGTTATCCCTATTAAAGGTACAAACCTCTGCTTTCTTACAGAAGCCCTTCAAGAATCCAAAGATAGTTATGTTGACCCTTTGTTTTCTTTTTTCCAGGATTCAATCCTTTGGCCTATTCCAGGGTGGGCAACCACTGGCACACGTGCCAAACATGGCATGCCAGTAACTTTTGCTGGCACGCAACACCCTCTCTTGTAATCTCCCATTTACAATTTTTTTCTTAATATCGACTTTTTTATTTTTCAGATAAATTCAGTGTAGGTGCATCTTAGATAAATAAATAATTTTACATAACAAGTTATCTTAAAGACCATAGACATGGATTGACGAGAGAG